CTGCGAGCTACGGCCATGAAGGACTGGCGCTGGATCCCACTACAAAAGTAAGCCCCGCAGCTCTGTGTGCTTATACAAGTTGTAGAGTAAGGTGGCTTTTTAGCTGTGACAAATTCTGAACTTAAACCAAGTTTTAGTCCATTTAACAAGTGTGAATGTATTTATTTCCTACTGCACTGAAAGCTGGTAAGCCAGACTTCAGCTTTGAGTTTATTTTTATTCTAAAATGAATTTGTTTTCAAACTAAGATGTTTTCTTAAAAACAACAACATGCTTGGTTATCCTCAAACCCTGCATTACCAGGAGTGAGATCAGTTGCTTTAGCAATAACTCTGAACTGGTTACTAAGAAACTCACCCAGAGCACACACAAACCCCAAGCAGGAAACCCCCTGCCCTGCTTGGGTCTTACCTGCACAATCCCTCGCTTGTACATAGCGCACAGTATGAACAGTGAGTCCGACGACCACTCTATGTACTGGATCTGGTCCAGGCACGTGTACAGATGGAGGATCTGGAGGCTGCCCGCATCCCGGACAGCCAGGCGGTACTGCATGCACGATGCCTAGGCAAGAGCAAAGCCAAAGCTGAGCTGGCCTCAAAAGCCGCAGCTCCCACTGCACCGTGCAGTGCTGTGGTTGGCTTAGGGTTAATTTCGGAAGGGCTCGGTGTGTGCTGTGAACTCCAGTAGGAACGGTTAAAGCAGGGGGAAAGGCGGTGGGGATGTTAATTCACGGAACCCTCACTTTACCACTGCTCATTACTCTAAAACATTACTCCTTGGCTCATAACTATGACTTCATTAAGTAACCGCAGTCTGGTCACCGTTATAAAGAGCCCTGACCACTAAAAGCGCCCCAGCAACCCACCGGCCGCACGCACACGCTTGTCCTCCTAGGACCAGCGGCACTATCGCTCCCCGCGGCGGCCGGCCTGTCCGGACGGCGCTCACCGGGCCTCCCCGTACCACGCGCACCGCGCCGGCTGCGGAGGGACAGGCCGGGGCCCGGCTCCAAGGCCCCGCGCTGCCGCTTCACCCGACGCTCCCCTCGGGCAGCGGCCCCGACTCACCAGGCAGCGGCCGTCCGGAGAGAACCGGCCGAGGAGCCCCGAGAGCTTGAACAGCTCCGAGAAGTTCATGGCGGAGCGGAGCCGGCCCGGCCGCCATTCAAACCCGCCCGCGCCGCCGCCGCCACAGCCCCGGCCCTGGCCCCGGCCCGAGGCGGAAGTGGGGAACGGGCGGAACCGGGCTTACCAACACCCAATCATAGCGGGACGGCGCTGTCCCGACAGCCAATCGAAGCAGGGAGGGCGGTGCCCCAGGGCACGCCGGGAGTTGTAGTCCTGGTGCGGCGCCTCCTGCGCGGGGTCGGTAATTAACATGTAAATGAGCCCCTAATGAGGCGCTTAACGGTGAGAGCCCCCCAGCCCCTGCGCGGCCTCAGCGAGCCCCCGCGCTCAGCCAGCGCCCCCCATCCCGGCGCTGTTCCGCGGGCAGCGCCCCGCGCCCGCCCGCCCGCGGTAATGACCCCTCCCGGCTAATTGCTGATGGCAATTAGGGGCGCAGCGAGGGCAGAGGAGCGCTAATTGCAAGAGGAGCTTACCTGTAAACGGGACGGTAGCTGGATTGGAATTAATAAAGAAGTAAAGGTTTGGGGAGGGGGGGGGGGGGGCATTCTCCTTTAGGGGGGACAGACACGGTCATTAAAAAATAAACTTTGGGTCAGAGCAAGTGTTTGACTCTTGTTTTCATTATGGATCATGTATTTGGGGCCCCAAAACTGGTTACAGCAGCTCTGATGTATTTAGGGGCTGGTAGATCATAGAATCATAGAACAGTTTGGGTCGGAAGGGACCTTAAAGCTCCTCCAGCTCCAACCCCTGCCACGGGCAGGGACCCCTTCCACTGGAGCAGCTTGCTCCAAGCTCCTGTGTCCAACCTGGCCTTGAACACTGCCAGGGATGGGGCAGCCACAGCTTCCTTGGGCACCCTGTGCCAGCGCCTCAGCACCCTCACAGGGGAGAGCTTCTGCCTAAGAGCTCATCTCAGTCTCCCCTCTATCTTCTGAGTATGCCCAACGCACACAACTAGAGTCTCATTACTGATGGGTCTTGATCAGAAACACTCAGTCTTCATCCGCTGCCACGCTATGCGTATCTTGTCAGGCCAGTTTTCCCACAGTGTGGTGGGACCTTGCTGATCCCCCGACCGGGCTGCCCCGGTCCTCCGAGAGCCCAGTGCTGACGAGCCGGTCACGTTGACCAACACAGGCACAGAACCAGCTCAGCCCATCAGTGTGGCGAGAGGAAGAGCCTCCTTCGGGGTCAGCCCACATCGAGTCTCCTTCCCTGCTCCTTCGCTGCTAAAGCCCAGCCTCGGGCGCAGTGCTGCGGGGGGCTGCCGGAGCCCCGACAGCCGGAGTCACTTTGGTGACCAGCTTAATTCCCGGGCACGCTTGGCTGAGCATTCCCCACCCCCTTGCAACTGCCTCCTACTCCAGGAAGGAGCGCGCAAGCTTTTGCCTCACTTTTCACATAGCTTTCAGCAGCTCCAATGTCATTGCCTAGGCGACCAGGACGCTACTTGATTGTAGGGCAGTAAATAACATAGATCCTCAATCCCAGGCTGCTCTTGCCCGCGGGAGACCTCCAGGGGAACTCGAAGCGCTTGGGGAGCCAGAGCAGGTAGGAGGAAAAACGTGACAAAAGGGAATCCCTTGCTGTTTGTGTGCGGGAGTTACTCGGCACGACCCTCTCGAGTGTTGCTAATGCAACTGGAAGATGATTTGTGGCTGCGTTGCTTTGTAGGCTAGTTCTGCGGTATTAAAGTGTTGTGGGAAGTTTGTTCCCAAGTGCCTTAGATCTGGGGTTAAAGCACTTGTGGAGTAAAAATGGGCCATGGGAATGGGAATGGGAAAGGCAGAGGTGGGGATGGGTATGACAGGATGCTGAGTTGGGTCCTTCCACATGGCTGATGCTCAGTGGCAGGCAGGGAGGATGGCTTGGCTGGTTTCGCCTCCTGCCCATCAATGAGTCTGATTGAGTTGTTTTGTATCAAAAATCCTGCTCTCTCCTTGGAAAGAAAATTGACAGGAAACTGCTGGATCCAAAGAGGGCTCCTGACATCCAAGCGTGCTGCACTGCAGGGAAACTTGTTCATTCTTGGTTGCTTTTACAAGCCTTGCTTTGCAGTGGGAATTCAACAATGAATGAGCGATAGCACAGGGTAGTGTTGGCACCTCAGGAGTTTGCAAACATGAAGTTATTTGCTGTGGGATGGAGGAACCGGATGGGTCTCCTTGTGTGGAGGAGATGAGAAGGTCCAGGAGCCAGTGCACAACCATCACGCAATACACAGCAGCTCGGTGTGGGAGTTGGGAATGGCTCTCACAAGTCATCTTCTTCTCTTAGGATGGGCAAGAGTCTTTAAGAATTAGGCATAGCCTCATTATACAGGGTCTATGCATTTATCTCCCTTTAAGGTGGCTGCAAAATGCTGTCACATTTTGTTGCTGGTTGTTAGAGTGGCAGGATAGTGGTGAATAGGTTATTGCCAGGTGAAACGGGAAGGGACAGTTCTAGGTGCCTAAAATTGAGGCTTAAAGTTAATGGTGAGAGCAAAGATGCTCTTCCTAGAGAGCACAGAAACTGAGCTCCAGGCATCGCTCTCAGCAAGGCTGTAACCCCCACATCACGCCTGTGGTACCTTCACCTTCTTATAGTGATGCAAAAAGGGAGTCAGTTTACACTAATTCTAAGAATATCTTCAGACTCTGTGGTCAAACCCGTGGGTTGAATGAACCTGTGGTTGAATATATGTGAGCTCATCTGCTCTGCTCCCCCAGAGAGCTGTTCTCCCATCTCTGGAACCAGTGGGAATTCAAAGGGAAGTTCCTGGACACACCTGCAGCCCCCATGGTGGCAGCCCCTGCCCGGGTGCTAAGCCCCATGGAGCAGAGGTGGCGGACTGCCTCTCCCCAGGCTTTGTCTTACTACTCCCAGCCGGGTTTTCCTATGTGCAACTTCCCTGCAATGCTCTGACCAGCAACAGAGGGAAGCAGCAACCCAGGGAATGCTGGAGCTGCATTGGGAAGCCGGTGGATAGCGGCTCTCCCAATGAAACCAAGCGAGATCACGCCAGCAGCCGGCAATAAAGCCGGTGTGCATCCTGCTGCAGGCAGCTGTCCCCATGCAGCCACGCCGAGCACCCTTTCCTCAAAGAGAGCTTCACTTTAAGAAGCAGCTTTTGGTCTCTGGAGGTGTCGAATCCTCCTGGTGTGGGTTTGGCTTGAGCTCTGTGGTGGAAGTCGGGGTGATAAGTCCAACCTGGCGCTGGGAAGCTGGTGACATCAGGGAGCTGACACAGTTATGGCAGAGGGGAAGAGCCTCCAAATGGATCCGAGGGGCTGGAAGAGGCTGGGGCTGCTGTGGAGCTCTGCCACTGCTGCTGTGTTTAGCCCCAGGTTAGTCACTGTAGGCACTGGGGAGGTAATTACACCCAGGCCATCTAGCACTGCTTCTTTAGCAATGTGGAAATAGGCTCTTCCCAGTCACCTTTAATTCAGCTGTGCCACAGGGTCTCCCTCCTCTCCTTCTCATCCTTCTGCTGGACATCCCCATCAGAGTGATTTCCCAGTTTCCCTGGATGTGAATGCCTCCTTCCTTCCCTGCATAGCAGGACTCTAACCAGCACCTTCTTTTAGGGTAAATTACAGTCATTGGCACCTTGGGGAACCCTGTTTGAAAGCCTTTTGTGACTGTCAGCCCAGACACCCATCTGCCAGGCTGGCATCCTCGCTGCGAGATGCTTTCCCAGGATGTGCGATGACCACGGCAGCAGGGCTGTGCTTTAACATCGACAGCCCGAGCTTCTCTTTGTCCCGTGGCTTTCAGAGCTGGGACGTGCTGTGACACTGGCCTGGCTTTGCAAGCGCCGCTGGTGCTTTGAAAGCGAAAGGGAACCTCCAAAACGCCCTTAAAATAGTCAGATCTTTTTTCCTTTCGACAAGGAGGGCGGCTGCGTGGTTAGAGCTGGTGTCACCCATCGTGACCACGCAGCCGGGGCGGTGCGGAGCTGCTCTGTGCTGAAGGGAAAGGCCTGGCTCCTTCCTGAAGCTCCTGCTGCCTTGGGGCAGGGAAAGCAGCATGGAAGCAGGGTAAGGCCACCCGCAGGCAGCTCTAGGCTTTTCCTTTTCCCACAGCGGATGTGCAGGTCCTTTCTCCGTCGCACATGGGACAGGGAGGGGTGGGAGGACACCAGGCTTTCACTGGTAGCTATTTCAGCCCCTGTGGCCACCCGGTCCCCGTCTGACTCAGAAGGACCCGAGCACCACTCAGGCAGAAAGCGCTGCCCTCGCGCTCGGCGGCTCGAGCCCGCGAGCAGGAAGTCCTCAGGCTTTCACTATTAGATGTCGGGACGGAGTTGAAAGGAGGTGCTCACGCTGGCCTGGGGAAGAGGAGCAGCCTCAGAGTGCACATCCACGTCAGCCGGGGCAGCGGAGAGGTCCCGCTGCTCCCAGGGAGCGGGTAAGGGAGGAGGAGGAGGATGGTTGCGTGGCGGGGCAGAGGAAGGCAGCGCAGGGTCAAGATGGCTCCGAGCCATGTGCGAGGTGGGAAGCTCCTGCCCGTGCGGACGTGAGGCGGCACGCTCAGCTCTAACCTCGCTGTGTCTCCTTGCTCCTAGAGTGGTTTATCCTCTGTCAGACTCCCCCTCCGGGAAGATGTCCCAGTCCTCGCCCGCTGATGAAGGCACAACGTTTGAGCACCTCTGGAGCACGCTGTAAGTGATGGCCGATGGTTTGCCTTGAGGTGTATTGGGAGCAGAAGTGGCCTTGGCTCTGCAATCCGTGTCAGTACATATCGTTACTGTAGCCCGAGGTGAGACGGGTGTCTTTATCATGCTCCACTTTCCCCATTCATCTTTGCACACTGAGAAGTTTGCTCCCCAACTCTGATCTCCATGCTCAGACCGTTCCGTTTGCCGGAGCACTGGTGATGACAGGCAGCTCAAATTCCATGGAGCATGTATGTCCTGAAAGCAGCGGATGGAGGAGAAGTTGGGAAGGGGCCGAGGGTCGAGGGAACGGCAGGTTGCTGGTGGTGGTGTGGGCTGTGCTGGTGAGCCGAGGGCTGACTGTGCCATTCCCTCTTCTGCAGGGAGCCAGACAGCACCTACTTTGACCTCCCTCCATCCAACCACGCCAGCAGCAATGAGGTCTCCAACCGCACGGAGGTCACGATGGATGTCTTCCAGATGAGGAGCATGAATGACTCGGTCATGGTGAGTGTGCTCAGGCTGCACGAGAGGGAGAAGCATCAAGCAAGCTGGATTTCCCCGCAGTGGGCTGGGGGCTCTGGGGTAGGAAGTGGGATGTTGCTGGTTCATAAGCCACACACAAGCAGTGCAGTTGCAGTGCTGCTGGTGGTGGTGCAGGGCTGATAACCTGTGACTGCAGCTGGATGATGCAGGGGGCAAACAGTGGCTACTTGTGAAGAGATAAGACAGCTGCATGCAGCAGCAGGGGCTCTGTGCTACAATGGCAGTGAAGCTTTGGTACCTCGGGAGCAAGGGTACCCTGTGAAGCTTGGGACAGGAGGGGAGTGTGACTCACTCTGGTACAAACATGCTGCGCAGTGAAAGCCATTTGCAAGCGGAGCTGCTGGAGGGGCATTTGTGCTCCCGACACCCAGCTCTGCTCCCACCGTCATCCCCTTCCTGCCGGGAATCTGGTGGGCCTCCCTCTGAGGCAGAGGGTTTGACAAGCGCAGCGGACGTGTGGGACTCCCAGGTCACTCACTGTGTTCAGTGCCCGGAGCCGCGCTGCCTCCCGGGAGCATCCCTGAAGCGGCTCCGGCCGTTGGCTGCGTCTCCCTCCAGAAGGGCTCCTTTTCCCTCCTCTCCAGCTTTGCATCCCCTCCCCCAGTCCCTTTTCCCTCGCTTTCCACTCGTTTTCCCTCCCTTTCCCTGGCTTTGCCTGCAGGGGCAGGAGCCTGGCAGCGGGATCAGGTGGAAGTGGTGGTGCTAATTGGGAGCTGCCCCTCGCTGAGCTTGCTCCTGCTGCATCCACAGTGAGCCCAGGCCAGCACTGGCCTCGCAGGGCGCTGAGCACAGGCAGCTCCTGATCCTTGTTAGGGATAATGAGCCATAGAAAACGTTTGCACCGGCCCCATGGTGTTCCCGGTGGAGCCTTGTTCCGCTCTCACTGGCTGACACGTGTGGAAAGAAAAGCAGAGATAACGGGATGCCACCTGCCTGAAAGGAAGGCAGGACACGGGAGCTGTGGTGGGGGCTCCGTGCGGTGAGCCCACTGCTCCCAGTGGCAAGGAGCAGATCACCCAAATGCTCCAAGAGCTGCCCTGTGTGATGCTCCCTGCATGGGCACTGCCTTGCTCCTGAAAGCCTACTTCAGGGTCCTGCAGGAGGAGATGCTGTAATTAAAGATGGGAACAGTTCCTCAGCCACCCTTTTGCTTAGAGATGCCAACTACAGAGCTGGTAGTTTGTGCAGAGCTTTATGTATGACACTGCTGTGGACCTCCTTGTATGTGGGTGATGTACGCTGGTTCCACCTTCCAGATATGCCACTCAACTCAGGTCTGGATGAAGGGAACACTGTTCCAAGTCTGCCTCGAGCTGGAAGGAAATCTGTCTGGTCACTCCATCTATCTTTATCCATCCATCCATCCATCCATCCATCCATCCATCCATCCATCCATATATCTATCCATATCTGTCTAGCTATCTATCTAAACATCTATCCCTATGTACCCATATCTATCCTTACCTATCCCTATCTAAACATCTAAATAGGGATAGCTCCATATCTCTGAGATATGGAGCTGTCTTAGTGTCACTGCATCATCTGGTCAATGCAAATGCAGCCGACTCCGTCTGCTGGTAACAAGCTCTGGCCAAATGGGTTTCCAGGCCAGCTCGGCTGGAAGCAGCTTTCCAGCCAGGAGTCAGGTTGGATGCTGGAGCTGGACCCCCGCTCTCCCTGCAGTGGGAATGGTTGGTATCGCCCGGTCCATCACTGGGCAAGCTGGGGCCTGCCCTGTGCTTTAATGAATAGTCATGAGGGACAGAAGGGGTGGGCCCCGTTTTGTTGTTGGATGCAGCTAGTTGACAGAACTAAGGGAGATGAAAAAGGCAAAAGAGCCTACAGTTGGCTGCACTCGGGTGGCCGGCGCAGCATCCCTGGCACTGCCGCTCCGGCCCTGCTCCGGCGCTCCCTCCTTCCGCCTGCCTTCCTGCCCCGACCCCATGACTCCCGTGGCAGGACGCTTCCCAGCGCCCCGTGAGCCCCGAGACAACTAAAATGCTGTACGTTAGCGACCCGATGCAGCATTACACCACGGTAGGTGCTCCTTGTTCTTAATGGGGTTTCTCTTGCTTTATTGGAATCACCCTCTGCCGAGTGCAGGCTCCAGCTGCGATGCACCAAGGGCTTGTCCTGGTGCGAGCCTTTCCCCATCCCATGGCTGTCATGAATAATGAGCTGTATCCCTGTGGGATGCTGCAGCTGTGGTGGTTTGGTCGGGTTCCTCTCTTGCTTTGCCCAGGACGGTGCTTGCAGAGCCCAAGGCGTGATTTCAAGCTCCGGTGTGAAGGGATGCAGGCTCCTTCACTGCAGACAGGAGCAGCATCAGCCCGAGCATCCACTCAAGGAGTGCCCTTGCACCACAAGCACCAGTTTGTCTTTCACTGGGGACCTCCTGGGCCAGGCCATCAGCATTATTGTGGCCCTAGGCGGGCTTTCCTGCCCTGCTTTGGAGCCTTTGGGAGGCAGAGGAAACGGTACCTGTGCTGCGGGCGATGCGATTTCAGCCCTGTCCTCCAGCGCTGAGGTTGCTTTCCTAGGCAGGAGGGTTTGAGTCTGCTCTCTGGCATTATGGAAGTTAGATACGGGCAGAGACACAGCTGGAGGTAGAACAGAGCAGTGCCGTGCTTCCTGACCAGGAATTCCGTCATTCCTCCTGTTCGTCCTATGTCTGTTGGTCCGAAGCACCGGGATCATTTCGCAGGGTAGTGCTGTTGCTTGGGATGTTGTTGGTGCAACCATGTGAATGTTTATCTGTGTGTGTGGATGAGCGTACCTGTGTGGATGTGTATTCACAGACACTCAAGCCCTGCGTTGGGTTTGCTGACACAGACACACCAACACTCTCACTTTCCCTTTCTCTTTTAGGGGACTGTTTCCAAAATGTAGTCAATTTTTCAAACAATCCGGCTGTTTTTCCTGCACCTGCCTGGGCAGGTCTGTGCCGGTGGATTTCCAAAGCCCGGGATTAGGGACATTGGTCCTTGCTTTATGGTGGTGAGGATCCCGGCTGGGGTGGCCAGCCCGACTTGTCGAGGAGATGCTCTGGGTCTTGTATCTCCTTCATGCACAAAGCGGTCACTGTTTTTCCCAAGGGAAGGCTCCCATACAGAGGTTGGGATGCTCTTGGATATACGAGGATGGTGCTGCGGGTCCCCTGGTTTGCTCATCCTGTGCAGAGCATTTACCCTCTGTTCGGTTCATTCCTAACACAGGCACATGGCAGGGCACAGGGTGTGTGTGCAGCCAGGTCCCCGCAGCCCTTCCCTGCTCCTAGGAGAACAAACCAGCTCGATTGGGATACTCTGGGATTATCTAGGCTGTGGATCAACCCCAGTGAGCAGCAAGCCCTTTTCCCATTGCTGTTCTCTCCCTGCTCCATGCCTGAGCTTCGCTTCCCGAGGATGACTTGGCTGCAGCTTCCCAGCTGGACAACAAGGGATTTCCATGGGTGTTTTGAACATCCATTTTGCCAGAGTTTCTCACCTGGGATTGTGGATAGTTTGAATGGGGGGGGCTTGTTTTCAGCTGGGTTATTTATAGGGCGGCGAGAAGGAAAAGAGGGGTTTACGCACATACTTTAGGGAAGAAGATGGCTGTATCTGTGTAAGAACAAGCCGGATCTTGCTCAGCATTCCTCCGGTTAGTCACAGGCTCCAACGACCTTGGGAGAGATGCAGACAACAGGAGAGCTTCCCTGCAGAAGGCTGAGTGCCTTTAAACCATCAGACATCGCAGACGGTTGGGTGAGGTTGGGATCCCAAGTTAAAACACGTCCCTTGATTCCTGAGCCGTGAGCCCTTCGCGGGGGAAGGCAGGTGGCAGAGTGGGATGGCCGGCCCCAAACCGCCCCCCTGGAGCGCTCGGATCCCGGAGCTGCCAGTGCTGGGTGCTGCGGGGAGCGGGAATGACGAGGATCAGTGCAGTGGCCACTGCACGCGGTCATTGCAGAGCCCAGGCTGCATGGGTCTGCTTGGAAATGCTGCAGATTTTGGGGGGAAACCCATCCCTATTGCTCTGAGAAACAATTACATTTGTGATTTTGGGGTTTTATAGTAATTTATTTCCCTACTATAGAAAAAAGAAGTGGTTTTTTTTTTAGTTTGATTGAGGAGAGATTCAGGCTGCTTGAGCCATGCGGCTCTTGAGAGAGCACTTTAGCTTAGGCTGTGCCTGCAGGTAAAACTGCTGCCACTTTACTGGAAGACTCTGACAGTGACTGTTCAGAAGGGGAATAGGAAAACTAAATAGCAAAAGGTCAGGATTTAGCCCAGCAGGTCTGGAATAAGAGCCAGAACCAGCCCAAAGGGCACGTTTGCCGAGTGACCTGCCTGCATCGCAGCTACTTTGTAGGTTTGAGGTTTTCCCCAAATTAGACCTGCCTGGGTGGAAGCTGCTGACAGCAAACATCCCATGTGGGGAGCATCACCCAAACCACCATTCAGAGCCGGCTCTGCAGAGGGAAACGCTTCCAGAGGTGCCCTGTGTGTGCACATGCGACACGGGAATGCGCGCGGGAGGTGGATGGAGGCAGCTCCTGCCTCAGTTGGTCGCAGTGGGAATGATGCCTCATCCAGGGTGGGCGGTCATTCTCCTCCTCATCCTCCCTGACCCTCGCTGCTGGGATGGCAGCACCCATCCTGTGTGCAGGAGGCAGGACGGGGCCATCTCTCCCACCCCGCAGCCGCGGGACATCTCCCACAGCATCCCTGCCTGGTCCCCTACGGCAGAACCCATGCTAGAGCCCGGGGATCTCAGCTCCTCGCTGCCTCCCATGAGGATGGAGCGGGTGGAAGGGAATGGTTTAAGCTTATCGAGGTCACCCCTCGCACAAGTGGTGACCTGCCCAAAGCCCCAGGCGACCCTTAGGGGTGCTCCACCGGGCTCCCGCACTGTCCCTTTAAGGAGGCTGTAACAGGACACCCGGAGCGCAGCACCGTGGTGAGGTTCCATGTCTCAAACTGGCTGGTGTTTTCTTTTTTCCCTCCTCCCCTTTTCCCTTCCTCCAGTCCCAGTTCAATTTGCTGAACAACAGCATGGATCAGAGCATCGGCAGCAGAGCAGCCTCCACCAGCCCCTACAGCTCCGAGCACACCTCCAATGTCCCAACGCATTCGCCCTACTCGCAGCCCAGCTCTACCTTCGACGCCATGTCCCCAGCTCCCGTCATCCCCTCCAACACTGACTACCCTGGTCCCCACCACTTTGAGGTGACCTTCCAGCAATCCAGCACCGCCAAGTCGGCCACCTGGACAGTAAGTTGTTGCATGTCTTCTTGCCTTCGCTAGGGAGATGCTTGCCATGCCCCCAGCGTTTTCAGCTCGCACACAACTGAATGTCTTGGTGGTGATTTGCAGTGGGATGCAGAGGGTTTGGTTGCATGGGGTGGATGCAGGATGCAGCCACTGTCCAGTGGGGACCTCACTTGCACGGGCTCCCCTGGAAAGCAAAAGGTGCAGTTAGCATCAGTGCTTGCTTTCAGCGATGCTCTCCAAAACGGCTGTGAACAGCGGTTTGAATGTAACTTTTCTCACAGCAATTCCCTAAACTGAAGGTGAACATCCCTGAACATCATAAAGTGGGAGAATCCCGGGGAAATACCTGCCTCGTTCTCATGGTGCTTCCCTACCGCTGTCAGAGGCGCGGCACTGGGTGAGAGCGAGCTTTGCTCGCAACCACTGTCACCAACCTCAGCTTTGCCGTAAATTGTTGCTTGTCGTTTACAATCCTTTTTCCTCTCGTGTCAGAAGAGTGACTTAACCCCTGCAAGCCGTGGCACAGTGACTGTAGGTGTTTAATCACGGAGGGGTCGCTGCCCGGCGCCGCGACCGGCGCGCAGCAGTGCGGTCCTCGGGAGCGGGGCTGGTCCCTGTCCGTGCAGTCCCCTGCACATCAGGGACACAGGATCCGGGCAGAATGAACGGGGACTGCTTTGCTTTTTGTGGTCCTAAACTCACATCCCGGCTCCTGACTCAGGGGTTTCCGCCGGGGCTGCGGTTTGACGCCATCATGAATCAAGCAGAGGGGACCAGGAGCGGTAGGTGAGCCCGGGGGGTGCTAGCGGCTTGGACTTTGGAAGCTGATGTGTTTAATTGCCAAGATGGTCCTCGCCGCGGCAGACAGAAAGTGTCCCTGCATGATTTCAGGCTGGCAGATCCCGGGCTGCGCCTGCTGGGCGCTGCTCTGCTCACTGCTGCCGGCGCAGCACAGGGGGCTGCCCGGTGTCATGGGGAGGGTGCAGGGGGGACAGGCTATGGCAGTGGGTCTGTGACAACCGCAGGCAGGCAGAGTGGGCAAGGCAGCAGGGAGCTGAATGCAGCCCAGTCCCTGGCTGGCACAGCAGAGCAGGTTCCCGGTGTCCAAGGCTGGAGCATCACGGCTTCACTGCTGAGTTGTGCTGACCCGGCGGCTGGGACCAGCTCTGTGATTAAACACCACTTGTCCTCATAGGAGCGGTTGTCCTCACTCTTTTCCTCTGTCTTTCCTTGAAGATGCTGCTAAAGGATGCATTTCTTAAGGTATTTAATAAATAGGTATTTAATAAATAGGTGCTCAGGGTCGGATGTGATTCCAGCCCAATTCCATCCTTGCCAGGGGTAACTCACTTCAGGTAACAGTGAAGCTGCACAGGACCTGTCTAGGGAAAGGAGGCATTCATGTGCCACAAAAACAGCCAAATGGAAACTGAACCCACAAAGTCTTGTCTCAGTTCTCCCTGGGTAGAGGCAGGAGGACTGGAAAGGGTCTAATGTGAGATTGCCACTGTTTCCAGCTACTGGCACTGGGGAGATGGCTACGGGATGGAGCAGACACAGCTATGGGCAGGACACCCTCAGACAGCGAGACAGGGGGTACCCACACGTGTCAAAAGACATAGAGAACACCTACTAAAGGTATGCTCTGTGCTCACTGTAATTACCAGTAGGGAAATACCCTTCTCTCCTGCCAGATGATGCTTGTTGCAGCTGCAGGGAGCAAACTGAACAAGCCACTAAGGTCTTTGTGGGCAGTTATCCCCCGAAGAGCAGAGGGTTGTGCCCCAGAGGCAGGTTTAATGCTTGGCAAGGCAGTCAGAGATGTGTAGACCCTGCACTGCAAGGCAGGGCTGATGGAACGTCCCCCAGGAGTGGGCTGCCTGCAGGACTGGCACCATTCAGCCCGCATGTCACTGCAGTGGAGCTGAGCCTTGTGAACAGACGTGGGGCAGCAGCATCTTGCACCCTGAAGAGTACAGGGGACGTTTCGCTTGCAATAGGAATTCCTGCAGGAGTGCTGATGGTGCAGAGCGCCCGGCTCACCATGTAAAGAGTGGTCCTGCTCGGTGACAGCCAGATTCACTGCATGTCCTCCTGGCTGAGGGCTGTCACAGCCATGCAGCTGCAAGTTCTGTGCTGGAAGATGGGCTGCTGCCTTTCTCCTGATCACCTTGAGCTCTGCACTGTCACTGCCATGCTTGGAAGCCTGTCCTGGTTAAATGGAGAAAGGAATTCAGCAGGAAACCATCTGTTCTGTATTGCCAGTCCATGTACAAACGATGATGTACCTACGCAGTGTGATTCCACAGAAGCAACATGTAGCAGCGTACAAGTAAGACTAGGAAAGCTGCTGGGGAATGCAGGCACTTGGGAAGGAGAGTTAAGTGTATGGCGAGTAGGGCTGGGGCCAGCAACATCTGACAGCTCAGGGATGCTGCAGCCACGGGTATCAGAATTAACCATCTCGGTGTGCTGAAGGACACGCATGGTTTCATTCAACACTTTGGAAGAATCCACGCTGCCTGCCTCATCCATAGCTCAGGAAGCCTCACAGCTCTTGAACAAGATTAACAGCACCGAGCGATGCGCACCAGGACCATTGGGAGTGTTGAACAGGGATTCAATGATGCCACCCAGCCAAGCAGCAGCGGGAGCCCTTCACCCTGAGGAAGACCCTGCCAGCCCGGCAGCTCCGAAGGCCTCCTGCAGTCTGGGATTGGATCATGGAGAATCAGCCAAGGAGTGGACAGCTGGAGCAGAGGCAATGCCCAGCCAAACAGTTTGCTGCGGGTCGTCAAATGACTTGGCATCAGCTTTGGTGGATGGAAGTGAGTAGCCCAATAGACTGCTGGTTTTGAAGGGTCCTGACCAAATCCCTCTGGGAAACACAGCATTATCCATTCTCCCATGCTGAGGGAAGGAGGCTCATGGCCAGAGACCATCAGGAGATGAGCTGGCTGCATGGTGGCTCACTGCAGTGCCTGGACAGGGGGAACTGAGCATCATGGAGCTCCCTGCCCTCCCATGCACATGCAGCTCTCGTGTCCATGCTCCAAACCCTCTGCTGCCAAAACAGAAAAGGTCTGGGAGGGAGATCCAAGGAAGATGAAAGATTTGGAGCAGATGAAGGGTGATACCAGAAACATTCTGCGTGAAAGGTCTCCATGAGAAGAGTAAGGGTGGCTCGATCGCAGCCTGCAGGAGATGGTTTCTGATAGCAGACAGCTCTTTAATCTAATAGCAGAAAGCATAATGAGATCCAGTGCTTGGAAGCTGAAGCCAGGCAAATTCAGACTAGAAACAAGGTGGAATTTTTTTAGCAGGGAGGATAATTAACCATAGGCACAATTTACCAAGGAATGCAGCGAATTCTCCAACTCCTGAAGTACTCAAATGAAGAGCCCGCGTATCTCCCAAAAGATAAGCTGTACTTCAGGCAGACTCTGCAGGCTCCATGCAAAACGAGTAGGCAGGGACCAGCAGTGTAGGGAATGGAATCATCATCTGTTCTCTGTAGCCTTACACCACTGAGTTTCTACATTAGGAAATAGGAAAATGGAGAAGAGGTGAAGCTTTCGGGCAGGGCTTTGGGGTCACATCACCCGAACCGGGTCTGCCCTTGCAGAGATGGGCGACATCCCGACTCCGAGCACCGCACGTTATCCCGAATCCTGACCCAAAGCAGCAGCGCTGCAGGAAGCCCCCCCCGGCCGCCTCCACCTCCCTGCTCCTTTTTAATGGCCCCTTCACCAGCAGAGAGCCACGGGCAGGAAATGCTGACAATAAGGTTTCCCCTGTGGGCTGGAGGCCGTGCTCCGGCGGGAGGGAGGACCGGGAGCTGCGGCACGGCAAGACGGGGCACGCCGGCATCCGCCTGGCTGCTGGGAGCTCGCAGGACTCCCGGGTCCCCGGAGCTGCCCGTGCACGCTGGAGCTGCGAGCCCAGCCCGGCTGCTTCCTCGCGGGCAGCGCCTGGCCACGCCGGCCAGCTGGTAACTGATGGGTAATTAGGACTGTTCGCAAGCGGGGTTCGCGGCGCGTCCCGGCGCCCTCCCCTCTGCGAGGCTCTCGGTGTGCCAGAGCCGGCAGAAGCGTTAATGGGGTCTTTGGCCTCCCGTGGCCTGGCTGAAAAAGGATGTGGGGAATGGAGCCCCCCGCGCGGGGCAGCTGCCCGGGCTCGCACAGGGACCCTGGGGCTGGGGGGAGAGGGACAAACCTCTGAGCTGATCAGACAGGGGGTCCATGAAGCCAGGGATAAGCATAGAGGGGTCCCCATCCAGGGTTCTGCCTGCTGCTTGTGGGAGCAAATAGCCTGCAATGGAAAGGATGGAGAGGTTCAGAGAGGAGGTGAGGTGCTCCCGCTGCAATGGAGCACCCATCATCCACAGCAAACCAGTCACCCACAGCATCCCAGTGCTTGGCCAGTGGGAAACTGTCATGCTGAGCTGGGTCCAGCAGCTCCACTGATCTTGCAGCTGGAGTGTGGGTACTGGGGGAGCTGAAATGCTTTGTCTGATGCTAACTGAATGAGGAAGGTGGGAATAACTGGTGTGGCAGGAGGTAGGTTCTCCCTTGGTCACTTGTTGGGGTAAAAGGGGTTGTAAACAGGAAGGCAAGACCTTTAGCAGCACCTACAGAAAACAAGCCCCTCTCTCTGGCACTTTACCATGTTTTAGGGGGGTCCCCATCCAACAGCAGCAGGCTGGGGATGAGCAGGGGGATGCGTAGTGCGGCACAGAGCCACAAACATCTTTGGTTGCACCCTGGTGGCTGGGCAGAAGAGCGGGGCTGTTTTGGTGTGCCAGGAGTAGGAAAGCAGCCTCAGCATCAGTGCGCTCAAGGCCCATTGAAGCCAGCCCACTGGAGGCTTTCCACCAGCTTTCACAGGGCGTGGATGAGGCTCCGGGAGCTCCAGACACAATGGAATTAAGGAAAAAAAAAGGCAAAGGAATTCGGTGTGCGATGTTCCAACACGATCCCGCTATCAGCTCCACTATCTCGAACGTTTATGGTATGCACAGGTCAAGGGAACGACTTACTGGCAACTGCTGCTCCAGTGAGAAGGCAGCGCTCTCCTGCAGGAGAAGTGGGAGAGGATGTACCAGGGAAATGGGGCTGCTCTGGCCGGCTCCTCTCCACTTGGATCCAAACCATGCAGGGGATGTAGGGACTGAGGGACCTGCTGGAGGGACTGAGATAGTGAATAGGCTGCAGGAGGAAATACATATCTGTGCTATCACAAGTAACAGCCCCACCAAGGCCTTTGGGAGGAGATGTGGCTGCATCCCATGCCACACATTCCTGGGAAGTCTAAAGGATGGGGAGAGACGGATGCTGCGTGTGCCCCCTGCAAACCACGCTCTCTGCCTGTGCCCACTGCAGGCAGGGCTGTAAAGAAGCAGAAGCAGCTCCCTGCTGCTTGCCAGGGATGCTGCTGATCTCCCCCAGGTCCAGGTCTTGCCATTGTGGCTTTTGTATTTAGTTTCCCAAGCCCAACTCAGCCTCTTCTTCCCTCCCAGCTTGCTCCCTGTATCCAATCTTGATAACGCAGCACGGAATAACTGCCTTGCTGGATTTTCAGCTTCCTTGCTGGATGAGAGGGACCTCCAGCACCGGCTTGGTCAGAGGACCCGAGTATCCAGACACACAGAAGGAGTCAGACTTACTAGAAGAGATTAAACCAAGCTCCGTGTGTGCCAGCGCTGGCTGGTTGCTCGGTGACTAAGAACGGCTGGGATCCTGGCTGGCAATTATTGTAAGGATGTGCACACCGGGGAAGGAAGGGAGAGCACTCCTTTGGGGGTGAGCAAAGGGATTGTAATTAGCATTAATAGCACGATAATAAAGGTAGAAGAATGTAGGCTGGAGCACACAAGGCTTCTCTTGCTGTGTCTGCTCCAGTGGCAGCCCCAAGGCATCACTGGTGGCCCCACTGTGTTGCCTGCAGGTGGCACCCAAGTTGTCACCACCATGGCGCAGGCACTGCCAACATTGGGCAGCCAGGGTTGGGGCATCCCTTAGAGCTGCTCTGGAGCAGCATCTCTGCTGCCCAGCCCCTCACATGGCTCAGGCAGCACCGGATGCTCTTGGGCATCAGTGATGCTCTGGCTGTGCTCTCGTAGTAAAGGAGGCACAGAGGAGCTTTGGGAAGAATTTCCAGCTCAGTGAGAAGTTCCAGAGGCCGGTGATTAAAAACTGGTTATTAAAGAGAAATTAGAGAGAAGAAAGGCGGAGCTGTGCAGCCGGCATGTCTTCAGGATCTGTCGTAACAGATTCGTCCGAGCCGGTTAACGGTATTTGCGGTTTGCAAGATGCTACATGTCTGAGTGAGATGACAGACACGTTATTATCACCTCTCGGCTCCGATCTGTCCGAACCTGTCCCAGGATGCAGCTCCGCAGCTGCTTGCTGGGGAGAGCAAGGAAATTAGCAGCCGGAGGCAGCACTTTTCTTCTCTCTCTCTTGCCAGGCTAGTGGCTTTATTGGGATCCATTGACTGCAGTCCTGGACACGTCTTGAGTAGAGCTAATGAGGAGACTGGAATGTAGGAGAGGAGGAGGAGGCTGGTAGGGAGGAGGGGGGAGGATTTGTGGAAAAAGTAATTGTTGAGCAAATCATTTCCTTCAAGAGGGAAAGGAGGACTTGGCTGCGGCCCTCCCGGAGCAGGCAAGTCTGGACGCCTCAGTGTCAACAGTTGAAGATAAATAAGATTTTATCAGCTCCGAATCTGTTGGGACACATCCTCGTAGCGGTTCTGCTGCCCAGGGAGGGCTGGGGGAGATGGACGCTGCCAGTCGGTCTTCCCACACGGAAGATTCGGGTTGTGAGGCTGTCAGCATCCATAGGGAAAACCCATGGCTATGGGTCCATAGTGCAGTGGCCTCTTTTGGAGGGGGTGCTAAGGGTGCATCACAGCTCGCATCAGCCATCGTGAATCATTGTGGGGCATCAGCGCATTTGGATCTTGCGATGCGTGAAGCCCTTCCTTGGATGCAGCAGTGGCAGTGCGGGATTACCTTGGCAAGCCCCTGCAGTGCCCGGTTGCACCACGGGCTCTTATTTCCCATTACTGGTGCAGCGCGGTCTCTGTCTCACCCAAGTAGTAGCTGCATTTCAAACACAGAGGTGAAAGAAACCCCATCTAAAGACACTTTGGGGTACCACATCCCTAGAGAAACAGAGGTTGATGCTGATTTACTGCTGCTGTTTAAACAATCTGGCTTTTCCAGTTATTCCTAGCGCTCTGGACTTGCACTGCAGGACAGATCACAGGAGCGGGGAAGGGACAGTGATGGAGCTGGTGCTCTTCTTTCACCCCAGCAGATGAGGGCTGGCGCTGAAAGCTGCCCAACTACAGAGAAACCCAGGGGAACAAGTGTGCTGCAAGTTTATGTGGGCTTCAGGCAGATTGCGCAGTGCTGTTACTGCTCTTTGACACAGACCCAGCACCCACAAGCCACACGAGCAATGAACCTGGTGTGCTCTGCAAACGGGCATTAACCGACGCTCTCTGGCTTTTTCTATGGGCAGAGATGACCTTGGCAATAACGTAACTGGGGCACAGATGCTAACGGCCCAAAGGGAAGAGCAGGACCTGAAAATACAGGCAGGAGGTGCCCAGCGCAGAACGTAGCCAAGCTCTTCTGTAGGTGTGAAAGAAGTCCTGGGGCTGAGGTCTGGATGTGCTGATGCCCCAGCGCTGGGAAGTGTTCATGTGCAGTCGGTTTTGAGAGGTCAGCTCCAAACACCATGGAACAGGCAGGATACGAGTGAGCAGCCTGCAAAGCATCAGTAAAGCACATTGTGCAGCACAGCACTGCTCAGGGATGCTCACAGGGAGGGGGGTTAGGAATACAGATAAGCACGTAGGAGCAGAGGCTCTCTGCCCAGTGCCCGAGCAGGCCATGCGTTTTGCTGTCCCCTATGGAGAGCATACGCTGCCAATGGGTTTTCCTTGGCTGGGGATGCTGAGCCTCCTCCTGGGATCCTGAGAACATCCTGCTTGGTGGCCATGGACAGGCTGGGTCCACGGGACCAGGAGCACTGCCGCACAGGGCACAGCCCTGACTTTGCTCGCCCAAGTTATCAGCACCGAGTTCCTTAAAAGAATCGTTTGTTATTGTGGAAGGATCTTTGAAGGCAATCCCGGAGCTGTTAAGACACGATAAGGTTATCAGTGGAGGCATGCCTGCGTTGAGCGGCAGCCTTTCCCCCTGCGGGGCAATCGCTCTGCTATTTAACAGAGATTTATCCATGTCATAACATGGTATAATGAGAGAATTTGTTACCAAAGAACTTGCCATAATGCACCTCTGCTCTTCCAGAGCAGTTAGATTTCCCAGGCATGTCGAGGGCTGCCCGGGAATGTCTACATGAAAGGATCCTTTGACAGGAGTTGTCAGTATTTTAACACCTGGCAAGGAAGAGCCCCCCTCCGAATAACCCTTGTTTTGCCATGTGGGCTCCTCAAACGAGGGCGTTCAGCCCCCGTTGCGCTGTGGGTGAGCAGCTTACCTGGGCCATGGCCGAGAGCTTCCTTCCTCCAGCCAGGCAGAGGGGAGCAACTGCCTCCCAAGCAGAGCCCGTGCTTCCAGCTCCAGCACAGTCCTCTTGGAGATGCAGGATGGCGCCCAGGTACCCAACCTGGCCATGGAGTCATCAGGTTCCAAGGCAAAACACGGGTATTTCAGTTGATGGCGATGTTTCTAAGCATCCCTTCCCCCTGGGCAAGTCCACATACCTCCCACGCTGAGGGTGATTTCTTGCTGCCAGATTGAGCTTCTTGTATAGCTCCTGATTGCAGCCTCTAATGACCACAGCATCTTCCTGCCCTCTCGAGTGCTGGGCAGGCTCTGCCCACTGCCTTATCCCTCTGGGAGGCAATACCAGCATTTGACCACCCTCACTGCTGCAGTTTGCCTTGGCAGAAGCTTCTCCCCTTATATCCTCCCTACAGAGACCACCTGGAAATGGTTTATCTCGTTTCCCCCTTCAGCTGCTCCCCGGGGGTGGGGAGCTCATCCAGACCTGCAGGCTCCATGGGAGCCTACAGCAGGGGCAGCGAGGCCAGGAGGCACAGCTCCCTCCTGCCGGCTGGGCTCGGGGCATTGGGAAGACAAGGGATGCACCACTGTGTCAGCCCCACAGCACCCTCCCGGTGCGGTGCTGAGCCCTGCTTCAGCATCCGCTGACCCCAAAGAGGGGGGCAGCAGGAGCCTCGCTGTCCCCTGCCCACCTGTATTCGGGTGGCTCGGGACAGGCGTTAACACCCCAGCTGTACCCTGCACGGTGGTATTTTTTTGGCAGCGGGCATCTCGTTGTGGGGATGAGATAAAATCCTTTGAGCAGGAACATGCCCTGCCATGCAGGGACTGGCTTCTCCCTGTGCGGCAGGGGTGGGCTCCTGTATAGCAAACACATTCCTTGTGAGATGGAAAACAGCGTGGCACCGGCGAGGTGGAAGGGAATGGCACAGCCCCACACCTGGGCGCTGACACACGGGGTTCCTGGGGCTGAGGGACAGGCTCTGCATTCCCCAGCTCTGGAAGCAGGGTGCAGCCCTCACCGGGAGTGTTGGAACGGGCAGGAACCACAGTGTCCCCTTTGTGGCAGCCGCACAGCATCACCTCATGGCCAGGACAATCCCTGCCCGGGCCACACGTGCTCCATAGGGCTGAACTCCCAGGCCGTGCACCGTGAGCTGCGATCCTGTTATTGCCATTAAGCACGATCCCCTCAGGCTGTGGTGCGTTGGTGCCCTCGGTGGTCCCAACCCTTGGCTCAGCCAGGACTCGTGTGCGATAATAGACTCAGCGTGATGCTTCCAGTGATGTCTGAAGGGGGTTTATGCTGATTTGCAGCAAGGCTTCCTCCAAGTCTCAGTGGAGTGACTGCTCTGCTCTGCCAGAGCGCTTGGGCTGGCTGGGAACCCCTTCCTGCAGCTCCCAGCCCTTGACATGGAAAGCAGATAGGATGCAGCATGGGCAAATACGGTCACATTTAAGGATTTCCAGGGGAAACCCGAATACTGATCCTAGAGAACAGTCACCATGAAGAAAGGCTGAACTTGCTTTGGTCACCATGCCCTATGACTGCAGCAGCAGTTTGCAGTGCTGAGATCCATCATGGAGCCACTGGGGTGATTCTGTGTGTCAGCACCTAGAGCAGCCTTGCCCTTGCACAGTCCCATTCCTAGGAAGGGGGTTTATAACCCTGATTTTAACGTGCCATGTTCATGCTTCACATGGAGCAGTGAGGAAGCAGGAGGTGGGTGGGAGAGGAGAAGAAGGGCTGGAAATGCCTCTCGGTGCAGTGGGACCATCACTTGGAGGCGGACGTGAGCCCCGTGCAGGGAGGAAAGAGAAGGGAGCAGCCGAGGAAGCCGGGGGCAGGCAGGGGAGCATCCACCACCCCATCGAGCCCAGTGCCGCTCACACCATGGGCATCTCTTCTTCTGCAGTACTCCCCCCTGCTGAAGAAACTCTACTGCCAGATCGCCAAGACATGTCCCATCCAGATCAAGGTGTCCTCGCCGCCTCCGCCGGGCACCATCATCCGGGCCATGCCCATCTACAAGAAGGCAGAGCACGTCACCGAGGTGGTGAAGCGCTGCCCCAACCACGAGCTCGGCCGCGACTTCAATGATGGTGAGCGCGGCTCTGCCCCTGCGCCGGCACCGGCGCTGCCACGGCCCCTAACACGGAGCTTTGCCTTGCAGGCCAGGCAGCCCCCGCCAGCCACCTCATCCGCGTGGAAGGCAACAACCTCTCCCAGTACGTGGATGACCCCGTGACGGGAAGGCAGAGCGTGATGGTGCCCTATGAGCCTCCACAGGTACCCGCTGCCAGGGGATGGGGGGGGCAGGACCAGCCCCTGCCTCCAGCTGGGATGCTGCTGGTGCTGAGGGTGAAGCTGCTGGTGCTGGGGCTGCTGGGTGGGAGCATCCCACTTGTCCGTGCCCATTTGAGGCCACCCCTGCTTGCCTCCCAAACCATCTGCAGCTCCCAGCCATGGGAAGCATCCGAGAGCATCCCATCCCTGGGAAACGGGGTGCAAAGAGAGATTCCCCCCCCCAAGTTCTGCCCTTGGGGGCCTCAGGAACCCTGCAGCCCCTGCACAGTCCCCTCTTCCCTCTGGCTTCCCCCAGTGAGGGGCCAGACCCACACCGGGGGTTCCCTCCCTGCGTCCCCATCACTCAGTGCCTGCTTTCCCCTCCCGGGCAGGTGGGGACCGAGTTCACCACCATCCTGTACAACTTCATGTGCAACAGCAGCTGCGTGGGAGGGATGAACAGGAGGCCCATCCTCATCATCATCACCCTGGAGACACGAGAGTGAGTGGCTGTCGGAGCAGGGACGGGCATCCCTCACTGCTGTGGGAGGGCTGGAAACCCTCGGGATGAATCCCCCCCTCCAGGGAGCAACCTCAGGGGAAGGGGATGTGGCAGCCCCAGCACACAGCAGGTAGGAAAAGGGCTGGTACAGAGGGACTGGGGACCAGGCACAAAGGGACCAGGAACCCAGGCCAGCATCAGCTTTTCCTGCTGCAGCTGGAACCTTCCTCTGGCCGAGGAGCCCGCTGCTGCTGCAGGGCAGCACCCTGGGGATCCATTGCTCCCTGAGCAATGCATTCACACGGAGGGATGGGCAGACCCTGGTTTCCGAGCTGGACCATGATGCGCTGGATGCGCTGTGGTGCACTTCCCAAGCAGAAGCAGGGTCACTGGTTCCCCTCTCCTCCCAGCGGCCAGGTCCTAGGGAGGAGATCCTTCGAGGGCCGCATCTGTGCCTGCCCGGGCAGGGACCGCAAGGCTGATGAGGACCATTACCGGGAGCAGCAAGCCCTGAATGAGAGCGCAGCCAAGAACGGCAGCACCAACAAGCGCAGTGAGTCCCTTGCTGGAGAGGGAGGGGGGCTCAGGGAGCTGCTGTGCTGCAGCCCAGGCTCCTGCCAGCACCCACACCCCTTTGTTACTCACATGATGCTTCTGCTTCAACCCCTTTCCCATCCCCAAAATCACTGCGCTCCAGAAGCTTGGGCTCAAGACAACACCCAGCCACAACACTTTGACCTTCTCGACTAAATCTAAAGTCTCACAACCAGGACCCCCTCCCTCCTGCCCCCAGTGCAAAGCTGTTTGTGCAGGGTTTCATGTCCCAGAGTATTTGTTCATCATTATCACTACCCAAGGGACATCACCAATGCCAGGTGAACAGCAGCATCCCGCATGGCTCTGGGTGCTGTCCAGATGTGCCAGCTGTGCCCTGCCTCCCAAGGACAGCAAGCCAATGCTCTTCCTCTCTCCTTTCCAGCGTTCAAGCAGAGCCCTCAGGGCATCCCAGCACTAGGGGCTGGCATTAAGAAGCGACGGCACGGGGAGGAAGAGATGTATTATGTGCCTGTAAGTGTTGGTGAGCTGTGCTGGTTTAGAGCTCGGCTTGGATGGGTGGTGAGAAACACCTTGGGGATGTGATGTGGGGCAGGACGGGGATCCTGAGGCACAGGTGATGAGAACAGGGGCAAAAGCATCCACGAATCCATGTCCGAGGCAGTCCCAAACAGCCCCTGGGCACAGAGATGTGGTTGGGTGGAAATAAGGGTCCATGGGGAAGGCTGCTGGGAGGGGTGGGAGCAAGGCGAATCCCTGGGCTTGTCCCGTCCTGCAGGTGCGAGGCCGGGAGAACTTCGAGATCCTGATGAAGATAAAGGAGAGCCTGGAGCTGGTGGAGCTGGTCCCGCAGCAGCTGGTTGACTCCTACCGGCAGCAGCAGCAGCAGGTCCTGCAGAGGCAGTGAGTACCAGACCCTCGCTCGTGGCACTGACCCCCCCCATGGGTGCTGAGCGCTCTGATCGGCGCCTGCAGCCTCAGCAGGGGGTTCCGATCGCCTCTGGGATCATTAGGGTTGGAAAGGGCCCTTTGGAGGTGATGAAGGATGGGGCAGGGCGGCTGCAGGGGCCAATCCGCCGCTTGGTTCCCACACACAGGACCCAGCTGCAGACACCGTCCTCCTACGGCCCCGTCCTTTCACCCATGAACAAGGTCCACGGCGGAGGCATCAACAAGCTGCCCTCGGTGAACCAGTTGGTGGGGCAGCCCGCACAGCACGGCTCCGGCTCCGCGCCCGGCCTCGCACCCATGGGTAAGAGCCTCACCCCACTGCGGCGCCACGGGAGCCCCTCACCGTGATGTCTAACGGGTGGTTGTTGTGCCCAGGACCCGGAATGCTGAACAGTCACCCCATGCAGCCCAATGGAGAGATGAATGGGGGCCATGCGTCCCAGTCCATGGTGTCCGGATCACACTGCACCCCCCCGCCGCCCTACAACCCCGACCCCAGCCTCGTCAGGTAGGGGAGGCAGCCGGTGCCCTGTCTGTCTTGTCCTCTGATGTTTCTTGCTGTTGTCCCTCCCTCTAACCTTTGGATCTGTGTAGTAACTGGTCAACTGGCCACTGGTCCCAACTGAGAATTCACTGCTCAGGAAACCACATAGACCGTTCTGAGCCCAGAAAGCAAAGCCCAGCTACTGACCAGTTAGGAACCCCTATTGCCATCACATACCCCTATCTAGGAAAGCCATCCCTGCTTAATTACGTTTAATTACAATTTAATACAAAAATTAAAGGCACCTGAATGAGGCTCTTTTCCTGCACACCAAACTGGCCCACAGCTTTGGGAACTCCCCCCTTCCCCTTCCTTACCAGCAATGCCTGGAAACAGCTCCACGTGGCTTCTTCCCATCAGGAGCGCATCAGCAGGCCTGCAGCCGCTTCTTAGTGTGTCGGTCTTCAAACAGACCATGGGTGTTCCGACGGACGCCCTGCTGGAGCCAGGGATGCTGCATGGGCAGGGTAACCAGAGGTGCACGGTGTGATGCGACACCGCCTCACTGCCCAAAGCCAAGCCCCAGCCTCCCTCCCAGCAGCTCCATCTCGCCCGAGTCATTCCAAGGACGTTACTGAGCTGAAAGCTGATGATCAGGAGGAAAACGTGGGGAGCCTTAGGATCGAACACAACCCCATGCTTCACTCTGATGGTGGTGGCAGCTGAGGGGACCCCCGGGACGGCAGCAGGACCAGTCTGCCACCGCAGCGCTGCCTGGGAGCACAGCTTCTATTGCACTGCTCAGGAGTTAACGCCACTTTTGTCTTCCAACTGTTTTCTGCAGTTTTTTAACAGGATTGGGGTGTCCAAACTGCATCGACTATTTCACCTCCCAGGGCTTACAGAACATTTACCACCTGCAGAACCTATCCATAGAGGTAAATGCTTCGGGGAGATCTGTTCTTACCACTTGTTTCTATCGGCTGCTGGTCTGAAACCCCTTTGAAAGGAAAGGGAGACCTGGGCACCAATGTGCTCACAGCGTTTATGCCCTGGATTTATCCCTTCCAGTTACACATCCTTTGGGTTTAGTGGTAGCTCAGTCCTTGGGAGCAGCCACAATTGGTCTTCACCATCAGAAGCAAGAAAGGTCCCCAGAGCAGAGCCCAGGTAGATCTGCCCCTAACTCAAAAGAAGGCTGAGGTGCTCAGCACAAAGCCCACGGAGCCAGTGGGAACACCTGTGTTTTAAATCTGATCCAATCCTGCATCTTCCCCTGCTCATCTTTAAGTCAAGAGGGGCTGAAATAAGGGAGTCAAGCCCAGGGCATCCGTATGATGGGAGCTCTGGAATGAAATAGCCCAGGTCAGGCAAAAGCTGCTATGAAAATAGCAATGGGATGCTAAAAGCGCCTGAGCTCGCACAGCCTCAGCCTCTTGGTGCTGACAGCCCCATCAGGGCAACAAGAAGGGAAAAACCCCAAGAACCTGAAACCCTCTGAGCCACAGCAAGCCCCATAAACCCAGCACTGGTGTTTGGGCTGGAACAAAGCTCCTGCCCCATCCCATTTGCCCCCGGCAGCAGGCAGAGCGAGCGATGGGACATGAGGCCATGCAAGACACAATGATTTTCCATTAGTAGCTGGGGCCAGTGGTGTGACCTTAGCCTGGTTTGGGACCATTCTCTGAACTAACCCCATGGAGTCTGTGAGCTGTGCAAGGAAACGCCGGGTACGGCCAGAGCGTGTGTGCGAGTCGGTGTGTGTAGTTACTAATCACATACTCACTGTCTCCTGCAGTTAACGCTCCCGAGTCTCTGTGTTTGGCATTAACCTGATCTCTGGCAGCTCTTTGCTCTGACTGTGCTCGTTCTGGTGCAGGGCCTGAGGCTATGGACCTGGCTTGGCTTTACGAGCTCAGCCCATGGCCTCGTAAGCACTGGCTGCTAACTCTGTGTTGGGGCATGACCTGGGCAGGGGCTGCTCCAGCCTCCTGGTCCAGGATCAGAGGAGAATCAAACCTGTGTGAGCAGGCATGAGGATGCTTCACATCCTGCTCTGCAGCCTGGTCCGAAGGAGAGGTCCCGTCCCTCCCATTTCACATCACTTTGATGTGAAGCCAGCCCCGATGCAAAGATTGTGTTGGAGTACCCGGGCCATGGCTACTGGTTACATGAGAAATCGCCTCTGGGGGGATGTGCCATGGGCTTGTCATGACCACAACAGGGCGTCCAGCCCCACCACCACGGGCACTGGGGGCACTGGGACCACACACCCCAATAAGCACAAGCTGGGGGGTCCGGGCCCCACTCCCACTGGTGCAGCCCCACGTCTCGGAGCTGTGCCTCAGCGCCGCTGTCCTTGCAGGACCTCGGAGCACTGAAGATCCCGGAGCAGTACCGCATGGTCATCTGGCGAGGGCTGCAGGAGCTCAAGCAGAGCCACGACTACGGCGCGCAGCAGCTCCTGCGCTCCAGCAGCAACGCCTCCACCATCTCCATCGGCAGCTCGGGGGAGCTGCAGCGGCAGCGGGTGATGGAGGCCGTGCACTTCCGCGTGCGCCACACCATCACCATCCCCAACCGCGGCGCTGCCGACGACTGGGCAGACTTCGGCTTCGACCTCCCCGACTGCAAATCCCGCAAACAGTCCATAAAGGAGGAATTCACGGAGGGGGAGATCAACTGAGGGGCTCCCGTGAGCCAGAGACCCGGGGCGGGGGGGATGAACCCCGCTCTGAAAGACATTTTCAGCCTTGGGTGGCTGGAGCAGTGTGACGGTGGTGTCTGGAGGGGGACTGCAGCCCTGTGCCACAGCACGGCCCCAGGCGGTGCTGGCTTCGGGGGAGGTGATGAGGAGGGCGGCTGATGCCGTCGCAGGATGGAGCACGGAGAGCAGGCACCGTGGCTCTTACCGGAGCAGCCCCACGGGGGTGGATGCGGCGTTGCTGTCCCCTTTGGAAGACCGGCCTTTGGCACCGCCTGCCCCCGTTCTGTGCTCTCCGTGGTGTCCAGAACTGAGAGGCTGTCACTGCTGTACACGGACTCAGCCCTGCCCCGTCCCGTGCTCTGCACACTCGCCAGCGGGACGCACCCGCTCTGCTTCCCCAGCGGACTGCCAGGAAGTCCCCATCCCCTTCAGTTCTTTGTAGAGCCAAACCTGTTTGTTCCCCCACGTGTTCATGTACTTAACTATTGGTGTATATAAACAGAAGCGATTGTACATACGTATCCTCATCGTGCTCTAAGGAGAAAAGATTTATTTTCATGTAAGCTATAAAAATTGATACTTACTCCTGAGACACTCGAGCGTCAAGTAAATTAATTCCATGTTCTAGCATGTAAACATGCAGAAGATTGTGTCTCCGGCCTCATCTATTCCACAGTCAGTGTTCCCCCTTTCCCTCCTTCCTTCCCTGCCCATTTCAACAGGCAATGTCCCACAGCAGGCACAGGAGCTGCTGCATCTGCCCCCTGAGGTCCCTCAACATTCCAGGTGGCCTGAGGGAATCCATGCGGGAACAGCGCTGCCCAGCACATCCCCACTGCAGCATCCCCTCCCTGTGCTGCTTTGGTGATGGAGGCCACCAGCAGGCAGAGCTCCAGCTGCATCCCATCTGCCCCGTGCCTGGGAAGGAGCTGGGAGACCCTTCACAAAGCCCTGGATCCTCCAATCTGTAAAGGGACAGAGCTCAAGTTCCACTTACGGCATTCCGGGCTCACCTCGGATGCGTCTTCCCTCCCCATGGGGAAGCTCCATCCACACACGAAGGGAGGATCATGAGGAAAACCAGCAGGAACCTGTGTCCTGTGGGAACAGCCGATTAAAGCACTTGAATGCTTTAAGGGGTTTGAAACAATCACTCGTGTTCCCAATATTAACCGAGGCTTCTCCCAGCAGCATCCCACCACGGCAGGAAGGGCACCTCTGTAAAACGAGCTCCTCTTGGAGCTGTGGTTTCCCTCTTTGTCTGTTTGGTGACACAATAAAAGCACACGTGGGAATTACAACACCTGGAAATCAAAGCCTTGCTTCTATGATAAGGAAAGGGTGCTCCTAAACCAGTGTAAACCTCAAAGGGCCTCAACCTGCTTTGCTTCACCAAACAACCACAAAGCTGGGAGCTGCAGCAATCTTCATCCTTAAGACACAGCTTTGAGTTTGAAGAATTGCACCGCTAAAAGCAATTTCCAGGAGCGAATTGGCTTTACTTATAGATGTCACCCCTCTTTCTAGTTCTAGGAATATGTATTCCATCTGTAGGAGCTGGAAACTGATTGAACTGCAGGATCTCGAGAGCCAGAAGTGTCATTTACAAACTAACACTCGAGGCAAGAACCTGATTTTAATACAATAGAAACAGCTTTTGAAAGCTTTTGGGAAGTGGTGTGTGAGGAACAGCCACAACATCTACCTTGGAGGTTATTAGAGACACAAGCAGGCAGCTTCCAGCACGTAGCTGGAACGAGGCAGATGGTTCCACATCCTCCCAGGGGCATTCTGTTCCTTGCATATCAAGGTGTTACCACACATTAGAATACTGCACACTGCACCTTCTCTAACAGCAGCAGCTGCAATTACCTTCATTAAAACTTTGCATTTCCATTTAAAATCCAGCAGCTTCCAGGTTTAAGGTTGGTTTAAATTAGTCGGGAAACCCAGAGCGTGTCAGCTTGGCACAATGCTCAGTACATTCACATCTTTAAGTGGGCTGAGATCAATGGGAACGCGCCAGGGAAATATCATAGAACCATGGAAATATCATAGAACCATGGAAATATCATAGAACCATGGAATGGTTTGGGTTGAAGGGACCTTAAAGCTCACCCAGCTCCAACCCCTGCCATGGGCAGGGACACCTTCCACCAGAGCAGCTTGCTCCAAGCTCCTGTGTCCAACCTGGCCTTGAGCACTGCTGCTGCTGCTGCTCAGAGAGAACCTTCTCTAAACGGGCCAAGTTCTGTAACTCCCCAAAGAAGCCATTAATAATGGTGGGGAACTGAGAGAGTTCAGAAACCAAGACCCCATCTACAACCTCCTGAGAAACTCAGCTTCTGTTTCACTAGGCAGCTCCTTCCACTGGCCCATGATGGAACAGTTGTCACGGCTACCGTGGCTCTTACACCCTCACTCTTCCCAGCAGCAGTATAAAGTGCACAGGTCCACCATAAACGATCACAAGATTGATTCCTACCTGCACGCCAGTGAAAACAGCGTCTGGTGAACAGCAAACTGACAACACCCATGCTGCACACAGCCGCACTGTAAAGAATCCCACCTGGAAGAAGCAAAACTGGGTGTTAAGGGCTCCACATTTAAACCCCCCAGTGAACAGACACCTCTGAACTGCACTGAGATTGATAAAAAGGGTCCCCATAGAAACTAATACTAAAAGCAAACACGAAAATGCAACAAAGACTGGCAAAGAAAATGCCACGGACTCGAGCTCTACGTACACGTTCACATTCAGCTGAGTGCTACCAAAACCTCAGCTGAGGTCCAGCCTCACGGAGGCTATGAGTGCAGCCCCTCCTTGTCCAGCCTGCTTTGAAGAGGCAGTGTCAAACCTCACATAGAAGGTGGGAAGCACCAAGTGGCGACCAGTGGAGGGCATCGAGTCTTCCCTGAGGGTGTCCATGCTCATGGGGCAGCTGTCAGCAAGGTGATGGTGGGGAACCAGCAGCTTATGATGGGAAGGCAGAGAGGGAACCATGCTTTACTGGTGCTGGTGAGGATGAAGGACGGTCAGGCAAGCAGCATGGGCGCATCGAGCTGGGTTCAGCAACATCAGGACCTGCGTAGTGGGGCGAGACAAGAGGGTTTGGGATGAGGCTCTGTGATCCCCACCGAGAGGTGCCACGGTCCCAGCACTCACCGGAGCAGCGTGGAGCTGGCAGCGGTTGCCATAGCAGCGGCTGGAGGAGAGATGCTCAAGGATGCAGTAGCGGTGCAGCCGCAGGGATGTGCAGTTCGGAGCCTCCATCACCACAGCCCCGCTCCCTGGCCCTGCTGCTTCACTGCCAGCCCTGAGAACTCACCATGTGGCCGGGCAGCGTCCTCTCCTCCCAGCCATGGCGCGGCCCCGGAAGCGGAAGGCGCGGCCCCGCCGCCGTTACCAGGCAGCACCGGGGCGGGAGGCAGCCGCTGCGGCGGTGCCGGCACCACAGAGCACCCGGGCCCCTCGGGATGGAGGCGGCTGCAGCCCCCGAGGGAGCAGTGAGGGGCAGCGGGGGCTGGCGGGAGCCGGCTGAGCCCAGCACCGAGCAGGAGCTCCGTGAGGAGCTGCGGAGGGCAAGGGATGACTACAACATGGCCACAGGTACCGGGCAGGCATCCAGAGCACACCCTCACCCTCACCCTGCCTTCATCCTCACACCACTCTGCTCTGACTGAGAGCACGCCCCAGGTCAGCCTCTCACGAGCACAAAGCTGACTTGAAGGCCACTTGCATTAAAACCACTCAGTTTCCCCCTCCTTACACAATACAACCCAGCCAAAGAGCATCCCAAGCACCATCCTGGGGCATCCAGCAGCACTTCTGTATGGTGGCAGACCTGTTACCAGCTCTAGTAGTTCCCAGAGCAGCACACAATAAGGTTAGTTTAATATATATTGAAGTACTGCAGAATGCATCACCAACCAGCATCACTGTGGCTGCAGCATTAACTTCACCCTTTCCACACTCAGACGGTCACAGCTGCAGCTCTGTGTGTGCTTACCTGAAGGAAGGAGCTGTGCAGCTACAGGCAGGGGTTCGGTTTGTTTAAGAGTCCTTCTCCAACCCTACAGGCACCATCTCCTCCTTGCAAAGACAACTGGAGATCAAAGAGTCCCAGCTCCGGAGAACCAGATCTGAAACCGAAATGCTCCAAAAGCAGCTCAGAAAGCAAGAAAGCCACTTACAAGACATGTCTGCCAAGGTACCACCTGAGGGCAAGGTGTCCATCCTTGGGGATTCAGGCCTCAGGCTGCAGCTCCCCTCCTCATAGACAGGAGGTGCACCCGTGAGCTGTGACAGTGAAGGGTAAAATAACTTCTTCTTCAGTTTTGCAGTCTCAGAGAACAGAAATGTGAAGAAATGATGGTGACAATGGAGGAGGAGAACCGCAGCCTCCGACAGGTAAACTCGGTGCAAAGCTGCTATAGGGAATGCTTGTATTAGCTGCTTAGTTGTGCCTGTTTCAGGCTCGGGGGAGTTTGCCACTTAAAACCCCTACTCAGTCCAGAAGTAACAGCAGCCACCCGTGCCGACAAGGCTGTCAGTCTGCAGACTCTGCCCAGGAGGCAGAAGCAGCGTTTGGAGCAGACACAGGGAAGATGCGGCCAGGCCTGCTTGTTCCTTCCTCACAATCCGGGCTTGGTTTCTGGATCTCTTCAGGTCCTCTCGGAACAAGAATCCAGGCTGGCCGCGCAGCACAAGCTCATCGGTGAGCTACAGGAGACCATCGGGCAGCTGCAGACAGAGGCGCGCTCCCACCGGTACCACATCCGCACGCAGCAGCGGCAGCAGGAGGCAGCCCAAAGGGAGGTTAAGGCACTGCAGCAGAAGGAGCTGCAAACTCGCGTGGCGCTGGAGCTCATCACCAGCAAGGTAACGCGGCCTCGGTGTCAGCATCCTCCCTCCCTCCCTCCCGGGGACGCTCCAACCCAGGAGCAAAGAACATGAGAGCACAGAGGCATTACTCTTGGGCAGCAGCACAGCAGGAGATGCACCAGGGCACTGCAGTCCTGGCTGCCCTCCACCGCCACAGGGCCAGAGGAGCAGGGAACTCATCCATTTCCTTCCCAGCTTTGTAGCATGCAACTCCTACATCACTTACAAAGCAAACAGGCCTCAAATACCAGAAGCCCTTGAGAAACTCGAGTTCAGAACAATTACATCATCAGGTTTCTAACAGCCTTCCAGATTCAAAGTAACAGGTATCACCTTGAAGCCATTCAGGGAGGCACAGGGTGGCAAGCACAGAGCCCAATACCTGCGTAAGGAACTCAGTCCACCCCAAAACACATCATTATCACAGTACTTGCAGCAAAACCCAGTCAAACCACGTATAGTTTCACACAAACAGGCCTTTCATTTCACCCTTCAGTAGCACGGCACCCAAGTCTAACAGCGTAGTCTCTGTAAATCCCTGTGAATACCAAAGAACTGTATATACACACTAAGCACATCTATTCTCATCTTTCATCACCAGTTTGAAAAGTATCGAAGCAAAATAATCCAGGCCACATTCAGCACAGCAGGCATCAAGCCTCCGCAGGCAGAGACCACGGACGAGGAGGTGCTGGAGGCAATGCAGGTACGTGGTTCACGTGAACTCTGCTTCCAGCAAGGGCCTGACAAGGTAAGAGATCATTGCAGTGCTGCTCCCCACCCAGTGCATCCCCACCTCTTTACACAGCCCTCATTTGCAGAAAATCATTAACGAACGGATCGAGTTCCATCAGATGCTCAAACAGAAAGGCATCAGAGTCCCACCGCTCTACGGCACCGACACCGCTGCATCACCTACTAGTAGGGGAAGGAGAAGGAGTAGCACAAGGCAGCAGCATGTCACCCCCGAAAAGTAGCCCCGATGGCTGAGCAGAACACATCACCAATGTCAGGCTCCTGTTCCCTGGGTCTGAGGTCGATGTACTAATGAATTAAACTCATCCTCCTGAAACCAAGTCCTGCAGGAATCTCATTCAGTTGTTTCAACCAACTCACAGCACAAACCCCTGTAAAACACTGGTGTGTAGAAACACTCAGCTTCACAGGGAAGCTCAAAGCACTACTAAGGTCTGCCTGGCTACAGCTAGAAAGCACTGAGTTCTCATTTTTGCAGTGTTCAATAGCTGCTTGGGCAAGGTTGTACGGTTACATGACTGGAAAACTCACCAGTGCCAAAATCCATCAGTGCCCAAACACATGACAGTGACATGACTGTAAGAACCGTTTTATTTTCCCATTCATAAGCGAGTCCCAACACATGGATGGATTTGACACAGTATCTCCAAGTTCAGTTAGAGCTCTGCAGCCTCACTTTCAACAGCACAAAACTCCATCTCTAGGTCACCATTGCTTATGAAGAGGTTTGCACTCATAAGGTGGTAGCCTGGATGTAGCTGCCACCCACTCCAACCACCAGTGCGCCAACACTCTTCACATGGAAGTGTGAGAGAAAGCACTCTGGGCATGAGGGCTTGTACTCTGGGGAGACAAAAAGCTTTAGTAGCGTCAACACTAAGCAGCATCAGTCCTCTGAGTGGAAATGAACTTCACGAGCACGAATGAACTCGGTGCTCCATCAACAGTAACTCAATGGGTACGCAACAGGGTCACTACAACTGGTGCTTCCACAAGGATGGGCCATGGCTCTGCAGTGCACTGAGACACAAACCCCTGCACTCAATTCAACTGACTTGGCTTAGAAATGGAAGCTGTGTTAATGTCTGAACACAGAAACCATCCTTTAAAACTCACTCCTCGAGTCCTGACAGCAATTACATTGTCACAATTACTCCAGATAGAAAATCACGCTGAATGAGATGTCAGCAAAGCCGTTTGGCATCCCATCCTCGGTACGGGCACGCAGCACGTGGCTGTTTCAACGCTGTCACCGACTGATTTCTCAGTTTAGCTGCCAAAATAATAATCCAGCTGAAACACACCAGGAAGAAGCAGGGATCCAGCAGAAAAACATGACTGCATTCACATTACAGATGCTAAGACACAATGGTTTTCTCTACAAGTGAACATGTTCTGACTTCCAGCTTCTTCTCTGCCTTTCAGTTCTCCCTACTCAGAACGCTGATGGCTTTCTATTAAGGCTGAAGGAACACAACCCTGCTTGCCACAGCCTATCAGTCGTGACAGTAGCAGGCGGGATGCACTGCATCTTGTCCTTACAAACCCGAACAACCTCACTGCATACAAGCTGCGCTGTTGGCATATGGCAAAAAAGAAAGGAAATGGAATCATTCTGTGAGCTCTGACAGCTGCTAACGTATTACAGTGAGGAGAGAGGACACTGTGCTTAGGTCAGTTTTTGAAGGATAAAGTACTTTCAAGTTTCCATCTGTGTCCACCACTCGAACCTGCTCCACAAGCATCGGCTGAGCGTTCTGGCTGGGGTTCAAAGCTGCTGGTCCACAAAGAGCATCAGATTCGTTATCCGAGCCTGAGTCTTCCTTGTTTTCCAAGGTAGATCTGTTCAGTTCTGCAATTTTCTGTTAAAAGCGAAACACAGAAAACAAGATTAATTCTGTGGCTGAGAGCAATTCCAGGCTGCTTCCAACAGAAGTTGTTGGCAGCAGCTGAAGCCGTACGAGCACTAAGAAGGGAAGGTGTTCAAAGACAAACCCTACATTTCTAATTGTGGTAACACAATGTTATTTACCTGGGTGAGTTCTGAGGTCTGCCAGGGAATCAGGATATAAGAATATGAAAACCCTTTGCAGTGTGGAGATGGAAGGGTGCAAGCATGGAAGCAAGGATGGGAAAGCAAGTGAAGGAGAGGGAAGAATACTACTACTAAAGTAAAAATCAGCTGCTGTGTTCTCCTCAATGCATGTGGGCACTACGCATCCTGTCGAGAACAGATGTGATTATTTTCCTGAGCTACTTACCAGAATTAGTGTGTCCATGACATCTTTGCATATCTGTAAGCTGGTATCACTTGTCACCTCCAGAAAGAGATCCCGAGTGTCCTTCCTGATCTGGAAGGATTTCACAGGTAAAGCCAGTGAGATGGGAGCACACTCGCCCACAGTCACTTGGCAACACTTCATGCACAAACTGAAAGAAGATGTTCATTCAACGCAGCTCAGGCAAAGCGCTGCCTTGCTTTACAAGTCAAACACCATACTCTTGCCCTTCAATAAAGCCATCCCTGCTTAGAACAGAGCTCTGGCCAGAGGCTGCCACATTGGCAAAGGTGGAAATGGCACTTCCACATCCAGCTCAAGCTGACCACCTAGCAGGCAAGACCCAGGTTTGGAGATTTGTATTTGGAATGTAATCACAACAGGCACAGATTTGGGCATATCTCTGAATGTGGAGTTCAATCTCAGTGGAAAAAAACCCCTCACTTTAATTCTGATCAACACATTTCCACTAACAGATTACCTTTGTCTTCTCGCTGTTGGTTATGGGTGGGAAAGAAATCACGATGCCTTCAGCATCCACCAGACAGGGGTAGTTGTCTTTGCCATCCAGTAACTGGAGATACCTGCCAGGAAAAGGAAAGCGGCAAAGAGCGGGTAATTGAACCAGCAGCAGGATGCAGTGGCACAAGAGTGTGACAACAGTGAATTAGGGTGTTCCTGGTCCACCATGTGGCAAAACCAGGAGTAAGAACATGGAAATTCAGTAGAGGTGTATCACGGTGATACAGCTGAGGGAAGCCACAGGATGTCATGCACTGACCTATGCAATCCAGACACATTCTGGCGCTTCTTCTGCTTCCTCTGCTCCTCAGCTTCTAACTGCAGCTGGCGGAGAAGATCCTTTGCCTTGATCTCCTTTCGACCCAGAGGTGTTACCTACACCGTACAGAGCAAACACCTGAATTTAAGAGCTGCTCAGTCACAGGGGTTATTCAAACTCCTGTAAGCAAGACAATAACTGAGTTTAAACCTTTGTGTGAGCTACAACACCCACTGGAAAACCATTTGCTAGCACTAATTCCATTCTGTACAGTTCCAGAAGACAAAAGGGAACCAAGCGGAAAGGCCCAGGGATGCTATGGGCCCTACCTTCAGCGTGTCAGGAGGCTGAACATCATACACCAGAGGAGCTTTGATCAGCTGCAGGTCATGGGTGGCAATAGTGGCTACTGTCCGCTTTTCACAGATGTCTTCATGCAGTTTGGTCTGAAACAGAAAGAAACCCATCAAAGCAGATCCAAAACATCCACATGATTTACTCCTCAGAATTACTCTTCACAGATTCTTCTGTATTTAACATTTGTAGCTACTCAAGTAACTCTTTTGCATTAAATAGAGCCTTTCTGCATACTAATTTTACCTGAATTGCAATTGAAATGTAAAGACAGCGAGCATAACCCATGTCATATCTCTCAACTAGGAAACAAATGGTTTTAAATCAGAATACCATCACAGAGTCTTGTAATCTGAAAGCACCTAACCCCGGCCACCTAATGGCTGGGCAGGCCATAAGTCAGGGGTGACAGGCTGTGGTTATCATACCTGTTGGTTTCAGCACAGATCAGCGAACCTGGAGCCAAACCAAGGTACTTCTAATGTGGATTGGGTTCACTAATAGCTCTCAACAGGTTCCACAGCACCAACAAGCTGCTGTGACAGAGCAAACGCACTCCCGTGTGCACTCATCTCCCTCTCATGGTAACACCTGAGCTCCTACTGGGCTCCTCAGGAAAACCAGTTCTGCTCGTTCCAGAGGGACTGGGCAGCAGCTGCTGCACCCTCCCCAGCTCCTGGGTGAACAGCTCCCTCTGAGCTCACCTAACACAAGACCGCAGCACTGACCTGTGCGGACAGGAACCTCTTCAGAGCATTTCCTGGCTTTAAGTTCACTCCCCTCAGCACGCAGCACACGATGAAGGGTCGAACATCCTTGATACCCGGGCTCACTTTGACCACCAAGGGCGCGGGGTTTTCAGAGACGTGAAGAACCTTCACCAGCAGCTTGCTCGCCTCTTCCACCTCGTCCTGCTCCCCGTCCCCACCATCCTTCTTCTGCTGCTTCTCCCTCTTCTTCTTCCTGGCCTCCTCCCTGGTGCTCTCAGCCTTTCCCTTCCCGCGGCCCCCAGCCCGTAGGTAGTCCAGGATGGCTTTTGTCTGGCAGCCATTGACCATCTTCTCCAGCCGCTTGTCCTTCAGCTGGTTCCCCCTGAAGTTGGCTTCCTTGAGGCGGGGGCAGTCGGCCAGGGCAGAGGGCAGCTCCCGCAGGTGGTTGTTGGCCACGTCCAGACTCTGGAAGAGACAGAGACAGGGGGGTCAGTGATGGGGACCTGGGTGGGCTCTGTAGTGATGGGGACCTGGGTGGGCTCTGTAGCAGCCAGCAGTAGGGGTCAGTGATGGGGACCTGGGTGGGCTCTGTAGCAGACAGAGATGGGGGGGGTCAGTGATGGGGACCCGGGTGGGCTCTGTAGCAGACAGAGATGGGGGGGCAGTGATGGGGACCCGGGTGGGCTCTGTAGCAGCCAGCAATGGGGGGGCAGTGATGGGGACCTGGGTGGGCTCTGTAAGAGACAGAGATGGGAGGGTCAGTGATGGGGACCCGGGTGGGCTCTGTAAGAGACAGAGATGGGGGGGGTCAGTGACGGGGACCCGGGTGGGCTCTGTAGCAGCCAGCAATGGGGGGCAGTGATGGGGACCCGGGTACCCCTCGCACCTTCAGTGCCGGCAGGGCGGCGATGTCAGCTCCCAGCTCCTCCACCTCGTTGTCCGCAGCCTCCAGGCGGCTCAGCAGCGGGAAGGGCCCTCCCGGGGCGGCGGGGGGCAGGAGCCCTCCGGGCAGCGCCCGCAGCCGGTTCCCGGAGAGCAGCAGCGCCTGCAGCTGCGGCGCGGCGCGGGCCAGCCCCGGGCCCAGCTCCCGCAGCCGGTTCCCGCTCAGGTTGAGGCTGCGCAGCTGCGGGAAGGCCGGGGCTGCCCCGGGGGGCTCCGCGTCCGCCGCCGCCCCGCCCAGCGCCGCGGGCAGCGCCTCCAGGCCGTTACCGGAGAGGTCGAGGACGCGCAGGGCCGGCAGCGCCCCGCCCAGCCCCGCGCCCAGCCCGGCGGGGCCCAGCGCGTTGCCGCGCAGCACCAGCGTGTGCAGGGCGGGCAGGGCCGCGGCCAGCCCCGGGCCCAGCTCCCGCAGCGCCGCGCAGCCGCTCAGCTCCAGCGACTGCAGCAGCGGCAGCGCCAGCAGCGCCGCCGGCAGCCGCCCCCCGCCCGCCGCCACCCGCTCCGCCACCGCCGCGCCGGGCAGGGACAGCTCCCGCCGCCGCTCCCGCGCCGCCGCCTCCAGCTCCGGCCACGCCGCCGCCGCCGCCATGGTGCCGCGGGGAGGGGCCGCGGCGCGGGCCCGCCTCGCCCCGCCGGAAAGGGCCGGTCCGGGGCCGCCTCCGAGCGCTGCCGGGAGCGCTCCGGAGCCGGTGGCGAAGGTGCGGGTTTAACCCTTACAAAGAGCGAGAGCATCGCTAAGGGTGACCCCCTCCGTGCCCATCCCCAGCTGTGCGAGCGGCGTCCGTTCCTGCCTTGGGGTCGGACAGATTCCTGCGCGCGGGGCAACGGCTGCTCCAGACGCGTCTCTGCACCTCGGGTGGGTGAAAAGCACCCGGCTGGCTTTGGGGCACAGCGAGGAAGCGGTCATGCACAGATCAGGCCCGCGGTCTGGTCACTGCCATTGTTGATTTAAGCATTCCAGTCCAAGTGTTTGGAGAGCTTTCCTCCTGCTAGCCAGGCCTGCCTTGTGCAACATCTCTGCTCCGGGATGCTTTGCAGCACAGGAATAAGCATCACTGCGTGTTTCACACCCGCGTTGTTTCTCCCACTGCAGAAGACACAAAGAGTGAGCAGGCGCTGGGACGGACAGGGTGATCATAGACTGGTTTGGGTCGAAAAGACTTTAAAGCTGATCCAGTTTCAACCCCTGCCACGGGCAGGGGCCCCTTCCACTGGAACAGCTTGCTCCAAGCCCCTGTGTCCAACCTGGCCTTGAACACTGCCAGGGATGGGACAGCAACAGCTTCATGACCCAATACACTGCCCTGGCCAACCCAAAACACACAGCAGGCCTTTGCTAACGGGGCTTTTCCAGTCACCTACACACAGGAAAGCTCAATTTGACATCCAAAAGGGAGGGTGCTCGGGGCACAGCGCACAGCCCATCACAAGTGCTGATCCCCAAGCAAGATCAACACGTTTTGCCTGCATAAGTAATCAGGTTCTCAAATAGGAACTTGTGTCACTAAAGAAGAAATAAACCCACACATATGTTAATATATATCCTCATGTATATCTATATTTATTGATATATGTAATTTGGAAGAGTTAAACTATAGAAAGGTTTCCAAAGTACAAGCACACTGATCTGCCTGTGACATCCCTTCTCTTGCAGAGAGGCTGCACACAAACTAGAAACTGTAATAACAAAATCAGTGCAGAACATACAAAATTCACTCCGTGGTAGCAAAAACCCCAACCCCAAAAGGTCTGTCACCATCCTCACCCATCTTTGTACCTGTGGTGACACGGACCACCACTGAATTCTGCCCTGGAAAGCTCTGGCCTAAGTGTTACAGGTTAAAATCAGGACGGTTGCATTAAGGCAAAGCTCCACACACTGTGCCTGAGCAGAATTTGTTCTCTGCAAAGCTGTTAAATGGTCACATGCTGTATCCTACAGATGCTCATTTTAATCAAGATCTAACTGGAGAAACTCAGCATTTAGAATTATCTGGATATAATTTTGGATTTAGAAGCGAGCAAGCACTCTAAAGCAGGAAAAAAGGTCTAAATGGTTAAGTCAGGGTTTCCAGGGCCCCACTAAGGCTTTCTTTTCTTTGAGGGGCCATTTCTTGGGGTGTATTTTGGAATGAGCTGGGAGGTTATAAAGAATGACTTTGATTGCTACAGTAGCTCTGTGGGGCCACTCTCATGAACCTAAGGGCATGCTTAGGGTTGAGCTTAACCCTGTGGTCAAGAGGCCTAAGGCACTTGGTGTGCAGCAAGCAGCCACAGAGATCAGCCACTTCGTGTTCATGTGGTGGCAGGTCATATGGCAATATCCAACCAGCCCTTTGGCTTTTTCCTTTGGTGCTAATTCTTGACATTCACAATATGCTTGAACTCATCAAATTACAGACACTGGTGTTAGAAACAAGAGCGAAGTGTGTTACCACCACTCTCCTCAGGGAGACAGTTTACTATGAGTAACTGGAGATAAATGCCTGGCCTGCTTTGTGCCATCAGGGAATGTGGGAGGCCGGATCCATCCCAAAATATCCGTGTGTTTCCAGTGTAAGCATTTCTAGGAGAAAGCCACTGTGCTGCACAGGCAGCTGACACAGTGCTGTGGTTATCAGACTGGCAAGCGCTGCTCAACAGGCCCGTGGAGTCAAACAAATAAGATGAAATGAATTTCTCACACCTTTTAAATACCTACTATAAGCCAAAGGAAAAAATACTTGTCCTGTCATCGCTTTGTGTATGTTTTGCCACTGATTTTATTTGGGCTCCCTCTTGGGATTGGGATCTTGCTTCCTATAGAGGGTGATCGAGCTTTTGCTCCTGGAGGACCTGGTTTCCTTAAACACTGGCCACCCATTTTGCCTGTGAAGAGAAAATACAGGTCGTTATTGCAAGGACATCTGGTCCCAGCCTTGAATTTTATCTACCATTTTGATTCTCAAGAACTGTGAAGTCTGAATACTGATACTGGCAACTAAAAGTTGGTGGGCATCCGGTCTGAGGTGAGTCTCACAAGACTAAATGGTTAGCATTCCTTTCCTATCTCTAGGAAATTGCTGTGGAGCTTTAGCTGTATCCAGGCAGGATTTAAGTTCCTTCTGTTTTTCTAAATTCTAAGCAGCAGCAAACTAACTAGCATTCTCACAGGCAAATAGAAAACAGATGGACAGACATGACTGTATGTCCAGTCTGACACTGGACACTGTTGAGTTTAACCACATTCACTTAGAGCTGACAAGATTCTGTCCAGGATGCTGGAGTACCTGTAAAATGCAGGTATGAGCAAAGCAAATACCAGACACAGAGGTTAACTCCAGCAATGACCTGAACACACAGGGGACTAAAGAGCTCTGAGAAAAGTCTGAAGGAGGAAAGGCTCTGGATGTTACTGACCAAGAGAGTTTTGGTGTTGCAGGCAGGGAAAATAGCATGTTTAACTTCTGTGTCCAGGAAAGAAAAGGATTTTGCTTCATAAATAGAGACGAGTGTTAAAAAAAGCCACCTGACATCAGCATCAATTTCTCTCTGTTGGTGAAGAAGCTGCACAATCATAGATTCTGCCTACCTCCTGGGTCTGAATGGCAAAGGAAAAGCAGTACACAGCACTAACTATTCAATTCATCTCGTAATTAGGATTAGATTAGCATCCTCTGATTGGACATTACAAGCTAAATTGGGCTCTCAGTTCTCTGTGTCAGCGTTCAGGAGCTTGCCAGAATGTTAACTGTTTCCTATCACACCGATTGTTCTATTCACAGTTGTACTGTCATGCAGAAAAAGCCCCAAACTGATCAAATACACCAGCTCTCCAACCAACTGAGTTAATGCCTTGGTTTGAAACAGGATTGTTATGAAATGATTTTGAGAGTTTGCTCCCCGAGTATGCTGTAGTTAGGTTAGGTTATGTAAAAAACTGAGTTGAACAAGTAGCAAGAGTCTGCTCTCGAGGATGAAACACTCCTCTTAAGTAAAAGGAACACAGTAAAAAGCATAACCATTATTATCATAAAACAGTATCTTACCAGGCTGCACCAGAAGAGTTTTATTTAAGATGGAGAGCCTCCGCTGATTCATTTTACAGCCCATCAAGTGAGATTTCCAGCCCTGAAGTCAATCAAAAAGAAGTGATACTACAACACCAGCAAAATCAGCCAAGCTCTTAGGTAGTCACTATGTATGCACATAGATGTTGAAACCATGAGGAAAAACAGGGTTATGAACAGACCTTTTTGTGACAGCATTTGAATCTGCTCACTCATAAAAGCATCTTAGGCACCTTATGACTAAGTGAAATAGAAATTAAGATATCCAAATCTTGATATGATACCAACAGATATTTTCAGCTGCTGAAAGCACACTTTGGATGTGCCAGAGATTTCCCAGCATTAGGCAGTAACAGGGAACAGCATGGAGGAAGTTCTTCAAGGCAAGTTCTGAAGTCATTGATATAAGGCAGTGTTAGAAGAGGACATGAATTCAGTCCCAGTGCCATAACATCAGAGCAGTCTGGAAGGCATCTTACCTCCTCTCCTGGAGGAAAGTTGTCATGGCACAATGGGCAATGGTTTGCCTCGTGTTCTGGCTTGGCAGCTGAAATGATGAGAAAAATAGTGCAAGAATTGCAAAGGCAGGCTAAGTTCAAATACAAGAGGAGAAGCTGCACAACAAAGAGTGTAAAACTACTCCATGGCTAAACCAGCTCCATCCCTTTTATCATTAACTGCTCTCAAAGTCCCGTGTTTAATCATCTACACCGAAACAAGATCAAAAGGAACGCTGGGGCTTAATCCTTTGGGCTTGACGTTTGAAGTTCAATCCTCCTGTTTGAAGCTACTCACAATTGCAAGTTTTGCTCTTAATATGTTTGGGCAACTCATCTTTTGGAAGGGCTTCACCACACCGTTGGCATTTCCCAAAATTGTCCTTTTTATCACAGTCAGTCAACAAGTGCTCTGTCAGGCTGGCTATTTCCACCACCTGCAATGGAGCAAGAGGCACCCAGTGAGCCTTGTGCTGTGCTGAGTAAAAGAGGAGTATTTAAAACTCTGCTTATGTGATTTTTGGAAGTTAAATCACACTTTCCAAAATGGCACAGGGAAAATGAAATTTTAGTCCATTTATAATACTGCTCTGTCCAAAAAGTGCTACCCAAGATCACACTTGTGTTCAGCATTTGTCTACCTTAGCATTAAATATTATCTTATAGCACCTTAAAAACAGAATAACAACAGTTAATGTCTTGTAGTAGCTCCAGACAGTTTATGCCTAACCTGTTTGCAGTGCTCACATCTGGTTAACATACGGCAGTGTTTCCAGTAATGGAGATCCAAGCCTTCCTCTGTGAAGGATTCGTCCCTTTCACCACAAAAAATACATAAGCTAGGGAAAAAAATACACGCATCAGTAACATCACAGAGTGAAATGGAGGAATACTGCTGCTTCTGTTAGAAGCTATTCTGAGTAACAGCTACTATCTTGGTACACCTCATTTTCTTTACACAGTGCTTATAATGCGTTAGGGCATGTACAGATACTATCACATAATTTATGGTAACTACAACTGTGAAGCATTTGCTCACATAG